AGGTAGACAGAGCCTGAACCTGTCTAAGCGGGTTCAAAAAGGCTATATTTTTGGCCGAGCCTACGAGCTCAGTGATACCCACATTAAACCGGCCTCGTGCCACATTCTATCCTCGTGTGTGGATCGATAAATACTGTACAGACAGTCGAGCATTTTACCTGAATCCTTAGCAATGGATCGTATGTATGAGTTCCATTTGAGGTCGGGTGTGAGTTTAGAGCCCAACAGTCTTTCAATGCTCACTGCTTCATCGAGAGGACGACCGTTCATCCTTATTGCTGGTAGTTAGGGGTCAGACCGTCGGTGATGGAATGCAACTAGCTTGGTTTTCGACGCATTGAATGTAACAAGTCTTTTTTTACCGTCATTCAGTAATTTGCACAAGATCGGATGAGAAATCAGTCGCCAATCTCTGACCATCGAGTGTTTCAGATGTGCGCCCGTATATAGTCGTATCGATATTTCCAAATGATCTGACTATATTCTTTGGCTTATTTATGTAGAACAAAAAGAGGGTTGGTCCGTGGAGTGAGCCCTGGGGGACGGATACGTTGACCTCTACAGCTCCAGAGGACTAGCCATTGATAACTACCTTCATGGTCCTACCTGTTAGGAAGTATTTTATGATCGAGAAGACCCCTCCGGTGATTCTATAACTGGAAATGTTGTGTAATAAGTCTTTGTTCCACACCTTGTCGAAGGCCTTTGAGATATCTAGTGCCTCGAGATGTGTTTGTTTTGTGATGTTGTACAGCTTCGCTTGTCACTTTTGCTATGTCAAGCGAAATCTCGGCATCGCTTCCAAAAATGCTCGTTTTATTCGAAACTTCGTAGACGCCGGTACTAGTAATAATGACTTCCAATAATATCCGCACTAGTAATACTTGTCCAAGTAGTAATCGCCAAATAGTATAATGATCAGAAGAGAATCGCAATCCGTATAGTAGTAGAGAGAGTTAACGTATAGCAATAGTGGATAGACAAGAAGAGTGATCGTATAGTCATCACGATACTTCTTATTTATTCATTTCCTTTATGATCACGTGATCTACTTAATAATGGAATCGCCCATGTTACTCACTGGCCATCTAGTTTCAAACCTCAGTGTCAGCAACGACACTTACTCTTATACAATAGTTTGTCGTCCAGAGCCTCATTGATTCTGTGAGTGATAGTATTTAGATAAGCAGTAGACCGGGCCGACTGAAACCCCTACTGCTCGTCGCTGAAGATGTTGTTCTTTTCTAGGTGTTCCACGACCTTCTTATTGATTATGGCCTCAAAAAGTTTACTGATGATACTGAGGAGACAAATGGGTCTGTACTGGGAGGGGGAACATCACACGCTCGTGTTCTTGAAAACCGGGCATATGCTTGACACTTTCCACAGGTTTGGGAAGGACTTCTTCAAGCAGCGGTTGAATAATTTTGTTAAGATTGGGGATAATTTCGGGTTGATATTCTTAAGGACAATCACTGGAATTTTTTCTTAGGGTCAAAGACTTTGGAAACTTCTCGAGCTGTGATGGTAATATTACTGAGATTGTGCTCGTGGGAAATTGGGTAGAGGATGGTCTTTGTCATCGAACGTTGAGTTAGTGGCAAAGATAGAGGCGAAGATGTTCACTTTGTCTTTCGAGGAGGATATGACCTCGAGGCCATTTATAATTGTGACCACAGCTGCTTTACCTCTGTTCATGATTTGGTTGGTGATCTTCCGGAATTCACGGGATCCAATTTGTTTCTTTTCAACTTTGGTCTGGACTGCTCGAGCGTAGTTGCACTTGGCGTTTCCTAGAATTTTATGCAGTGATTGCGGGCAATACTGAATACAGTGAGGGCTGAACTACTTCGCTTCCGGCGATAGATATTGAAATTTTAGTTTCGTTTGTTTTGGGGGGTTTTCTCACGGCATATCAACATCAATGGGTTATTTAATGCTTACAAGATATTTAGAATACATTCGTATGAATAGAATATGTATTCTTTGGTTTATTTTGTTTAACGGCATATCAACCTCAATGGGTTATTTAATGCTTACAACATTTTTAGGACAGATTCGTATGAATGGAATATGTATTCTTTGGTTTGGATTGGTTTGGTTTATTTTGTTTTACGGCATATCAACCTCAATGGGTTATTTAATGCCGACAACATTTTTAGGATAGATTCGTATGAATAGAATATGTATTCTTTGGTTTAGATTGGTTTGGTTTATTGTGCTTTACGGCATATAAACCTCAATGGGTTATTTAATGCCGACAACATTTTTAGGATAGATTCGTATGTACAGAATATGTATTCTTTGGTTTAGATTGGTTTGGTCTATTTTGTTTTATGGCATATCAACTTCAATGGGTTATTTAATGCCGACAACATTTTTAGGATAGATTCGTATGAATAGAATATGTATTCTTTGGTTTAGATTGGTTTCGTTTATTTTGTTTTACGGCATATCAACCTCAACGAATTATTTAATGCCAACAACTTTTTTAGGATAGATTCGTATGAATAGAATATGTATTCTTTGGTTTAGATTGGTTTGGTTTATTTTGTTTTACGGCATATCAACCTCAACGAGTTATTTAATGCCTTGCTGCTGGACGTAGTTTATCGTCTCACCCGGGACGAGGATGTAATTTATCGTCATATCTAGGACGGTTTAGACGTATTGAGTTGATTTGACCTGCAACCGGAATCCCAATCCTAAACAGGGATCGAGTGACGTAACTCGACTACCGTTCAAAATCCCTGGAAGGAGCATAAACAGGACGATAGGCGATAATATCTACACCTATTGAAAATAAATTAAATAAATATTAAATAAAATTTCTAAGTTTAGCTTCAGATTTCCGAAGGGAGTTAAAAAGAGACTTTAAAAGGAACCAAATCAGTTCCTAAAAAGAAAAATAGATAAACCTATATCCTGTTCAAAAGTAGTGGGAAGAGTGTGAACAGGATGATAGGCGAATCTATCTACTCCAATTGAGAATAAATTAAATAAATAGTAAATAAAATTTCATAGTTTAGACTGAGGCGTTAGACGTATTGATTTGGTTTGTTTTGTTTTATGGCATATCAACCTCAATGGGTTATTTAATGCTGACAAAATTTTTATTGCTGGTCATATGTTTTTCTTCAAAAATCTATTTCTGGGAATATTTTTCCTTGAAGAAATCTATAGCTGGTCATATTTCTTTTCAAAGAATTTATAGCTGTTTGTATTGCTGCTATTTTTTTCAAAGTATTGCGGATAATAATTTTTCCTTCAAAAATTATTGATGGTAATTTTTTTTTTATTACAATGTATTTCTGGTATTAAAACCTATTTTTACATAACTTTCGGTGCTAACTATTTGCCCATAGCTGGGACCCTAACAGGTGCTACCACCCCGAGTCAGGGTGGACCTGGGAACACCAGCAATTAAGAGGTGGTTCCACGTTCATCAAAACCTACCCATCAGAGGTCTTGCTGTTGGATGTAGTTTATTGTCATACCTAGGACGGCTTGTAGGTGCTGGAAAATTTCTTATTGTCTAAAATAAAGATCGTTTGCCATTTTACCCAATCGATTTGTGTCAAGGTAGATTTGACCTGCTAACATTAGTTTGATCGATGCTGGTTGTACCTGTAGAATTCGTCGAGTTATATCATCACCAACACCAATTCGGCTCGCTAGAGACATAAAATGTTTGCCATGCGTATACAAGGTCTTCCTGCTAGGCAGACATCATTTTTATCTTTCGATACATGACTAACAAACAATATTTATTTTTTTTTCAAAAACAGTTTTAAATGATTATCCAGTTTCTTTCTGCTGAAAATAATAGATCAAACAGCAATTTGCCATCCAAAAGACGCTATAGAATCCCAGTCATCCGAGTCCTGACCAACGATTTTACTCATTACGCTGAGGGGTGGAAAGAATACCGAATATTCATACCTTTACCCCTGAATAAGGCGTATTTCTAGAATACGTGGTGAATATCAGTCAGTTATGTGAGCATGATTATGACACGTGATACATACTTAGGCGATCATTTGTCTTTCGATAAATGGTGACGATCTATATCCTAGATTTTTCCGTAATATCTTTGCCATTTCTTTATGCGGTCTAGACAAGGACGTTCCATCCAAACTGTCTCTGCATTCATCTATTCAACCCACACTGTACTGCTGTTTGCCCATAGCTGGGGATAAGAAGAGGATTCATAACTTTTTCCAATCTATCTCTAGTCTGATATTATCTATCTTCGTAAAACTGAATATCAGTCAGTTATGTGCCATGCGTGATACGCTTCCTCGATCATGTATCTTTCGATACATGACTGACAAAACAATTTTTTCCCGCAGTAGCTTGCCATTTCTTTTTAGTTCATAACCGGTTCTCAATCCAAGGCTACAGACCCAGGTCTGTCCTGCTATTTACCCAAACAGACATAAGTTCATTTAAATATTGGGTTGGTGCATAATTATCAGGCGTCTTTAAACAATATTTATTATGAAAAAAAAGATATGTACCATTTCAACAATGACAGTTTTAAATGATTATTCCGGAGCGTATGATTATCGACACGCATTTTTATAAACTGAAAATAATATTTTTATTAAAAAAAAATAAACAAAACAGCAATTTTTATTGACAAATAACTCGCCTACAAAGACGCCAGATGCATCAACCCAATAATTTATCCGAGCACTTTCCGTGGAAGTAACGATAGGGCAGCAAGAGGCTGGCCACGTTACGCCTGGGAGAGAGAGGTTGGAGGGTGGCAAATAATTTCAAGATGAATACCGGCAGGATCGGGGCAACGTTCTCATAACTACCCCTCATAACTACCCCTGAATAAGGCGTTTTTCTAAAGAATATTTATTATGAAAAAACAAACATAACAATTCAACAATAACATTTTTTAAATGATTATTCTCGAGCGTATGATTATCGACACGCATTTTCATAACCTGAAAATAAAATTTCAGTCAGCCTGTCTGTCTATCTAGCTATCTATCTATCTATCTATCTATCTATCTATCTATCTATCTGAAACTGTTCTTTGGACAATCTATATCTATCTATCTAAAAATCTAAACTATCTATTATAAAACTAACACACATCTATCTATCTATCCTAGCTAGCTATCTATCTATCATCTATCTATCTATCTATCTATCTATCTATAACTGTTCTTCTAATCATCTATCTCAAACTGTTCTTATCTATCTATCTATCTATCTATCTATCTATCTATCTATCTATCTATCTATCTATCTATCTATCTCAAACTGTTCTTGTCTATCTATCTCAAACTGTTCTTATCTATCTATCTATCTATCTATCTATCTATCTCAGTCTGTTCTTATCTATCTATCTATCTATCTATCTATCTCAAACTGTTCTTGTCTATCTATCTATCTCAAACTGTTCTTATCTATCTATCTATCTATCTATCCATCTCAATCTGTTCTTATCTATCTATCTATCTATCTATCTATCTATCTATCCATCTCAATCTGTTCTTATCTATCTATCTATCTATCTATCTATCTATCTATCCCATTCTGTTCATATCTATCTATCCCATTCTGTTCATATCTATCTATCTATCTATCCATCTCAATCTGTTCTTATCTATCTATCTATCTATCTATCTATCTATCTATCTATCTATCTATCTATCCATCTCAATCTGTTCTTATCTATCTATCTATCTATCTATCTATCTATCCCATTCTGTTCATATCTATCTATCTATCTATCTATCTATCTATCTATATATCTATCTATCTATCTATCCATCTCAATCTGTTCTTATCTATCTATCAATCTATGTCTATTATGTACTTGGTTGGTGCATAATTATCAGGCGTTTTTTAAATAATATTTATTATGAAAAAACAAGCATAATTCAATCATTTTTTAAATGATTATTCTGGAGCGTATGGTTATCGACACGCATTTTTATAAACTGAAAATAAAATCAGTCAATCAGTCAGTCTATCTATCTATCTATCTATCTATCTATCTATCAGTCTATGCTTATTATGTAGTGGGTTGGTGCATAATTATCAGGCGTTTTTTAAACAATATTTATTATAAAAAAAAGAAACATAACAATTCAACAATAACATTTTTAAATGATTATTCCGGAGCGTATGATTATCGACTCGCACCTTTTATAACCTGAAAATAAAATAATATTTCTATTAAAAAAAAGCCAACAAAACAGCAATTTTTATTAACAAATAGCTCGCCTACAAAAACGCCTGATAATTATGCACCAACCCAATATTTCGTCCGGGCAATTACCGTTTCATGCAACGATAGAGAACGAATCTTGCCATCGTTACGGCTGGGATAGAGAGAGAAGTTGATTTTAGGAAAATAAATACAAGATGAGTACCCTCAGAGTCGGGGCAAGGTTCTCATAACTACCCATGAATCAGGCGTTTTTCTAAAGAATATTATGAAAAAAGAAACATAACATTTCAACAATAACATTTTTAAATCATTATTCCGAGGCATATTGATTATCGACACGCATTTTTATAACCTGAAAATAAAATATCTATCTATCTATCTATCTATCTATCTATCTATCTATTCTTATCTATCTATCTATGTCTATTACGTATTGGGTTGGTGCATAATTTTCCTGCGTTTTTTAAACAATATTTATTATAAAAAAAGAAACAACAATTCAACAATAACAGTTTTAAATGATTATTCCGGGGCGTATGATTATCGACACGCATTTCTATAACCTGAAAATAAAATCTCTATCTATCTATCTATCTATCTATCTATCTATCTATGTCTATTACGTATTGGGTTGGTGCATAATTATCCTGCGTTTTTTAAACAATATTTATTATAAAAAAAGAAACATAACAATTCAACAATAACAGTTTTAAATGATTATTCCGGAGCGTATGATTATCGACACGCATTTCTATAACCTGAAAATAAAATCTCTATCTATCTATCTATCTATCTATCTATCTATCTATCTATCTATCTATCTATCTATGTCTATTACACATTGGGTTTGGTATAATTATCCCTGCGTTTTTTTAAATAATATTTATTATAAAAAGAAACATAACAATTCAACAATAACAGTTTTAAATGATTATTCCGGAGCGTATGATTATCAACACGGATTTTTATAACCTGAAAATAAAATATTTTTATTAAAAAAAAGTAAACAAAGCAGCAATTTTTTATTAACAAATAACTCGCCTACAAAAACGCTTGATAATTATGCACCAACTTAATACATGGACGGACGACCAGTGGTGACTGAAGTTGGCCGCAATTTGTTCAACACTTCCGGTTTTGATTTTTCGTACGAGATTCCTTCATTATGTCGTAATCGGTTTGATGTAATACTGCTGGTTGCAGTTTCCCGACAATATCTGGAGGTAGAGAAGCCAATATGTGGTAAAATGTTTGCTTTGTCTCCGCTATGCCTGTGAAAGTAAATTGGGTTTCCATTATGAAAAAAATGGCTAATAAGACTACGTTGATTCGATGAATGCAAAAAGGTTTGACTGATATCGTCCGTATGAAGCTGGTTAGTTAGGAAGATACAGGTTCTATTTCACATATCGGACATTGTACTTTTTATTGTCGTTGACGTACCTGAAATCAAATCTTTTATGTCATATATATATATATATATATATATATATATATATATATATATATATATATATATATATATATATATATATATATATATATATATATATATATATATATATATATTAAATGCTGACCAATTTAATTGTTCCATTTTATTTTTATTTAATGGAACCAAGCCCTTTTAATTTAGGGCTCTGGATCATCAATAACTTTTTTAAAAGATTTTTTCTTTCGTTTCATCTTTTCCACTTAACCAGGTAGTTATATCTGATTAATTTTTTTTTAAGTGCTCTAAGATAATAGAATTATTATAATGGAACCTAGAACAGTCTGTTCAAAATAAAGGGTTACAGTTTTGTTAAATAATAGCTCTGAAATTTACAATTGAGCTCTCATTATTGGTTTCATCCTCCTTGGGACTACCCATACCGATTACCAAGTTTTCTAACTTATATATATAAGTTATCAATTATCCCCTTGTTATACTTTCCTCTGAAAGTTCTCCAATCTGCCCGTTAAACCAGTCTATAGTTATAATTGTTCATTACTTATTGTTAACTTTGGGTCCTGTCAAGATCTACGGTAGAATGTCCATTTATTACCACTTATATTGCGCCCATTATTATTATGGCACAGTGGATAAACGGTAGGAACGAATTTCTATCCGTCAAGTTATAACTGATAACTAACATTAGTTATTGAACATGGCACGTGGAACTAGGAACAATCTTCCCCACATAATCAAAATAAATTGTTCATTTCGAAATTGTGCAACCAGACTAAAGGAAACGCTGGAGCGTCACAACGGCCATTACAAATTGTTGTAATTAAATAATTGTTAATCGACAAAAGATGAGGACAATATCCGATTAATGTAAAATATTGTTACATAATTTTTTTTTATTATTGTTAATTTCTTATATGCCTAGAGACTCTGGAACGAATTTATATCCGGCTTGAATATAAAATATTTAAAATTGTTCATTTTATTTTCTATAAGAATGTTCTTAAGTTGAAAGTTTCTATAATTTATTACATATAATAGAGAGAGAAGTTAAGATCCTGTAAATGTGTATGTAAGTATTTATTGTTAATAGTTATACTTTCTATTCACTCTGTGGGATTTAAAAATATCGAAAATTTATTGGCCTACCCCTGTGTGGAAACGAATCTTCTATCCGTCAAGCATAACTTTTATTACAGTCTATATTGTTTGTTCTATTTTAATTGTTTCTGTTTTATTATTAATAAGTTATTGTTGTCACACAACTAAGTCTATTGTGCCTATTTTATAAGATCTTCATCTTCTCTCAAACGAATCTTCTCCATCCGTCACATTTGTTCTAAGTTTTATTACAGTCTATATTGTTATAATTGTTCTATATTATAATTGTTTATTTTATTATTAGTTATTGTTGTTAATCTCTTATTGTGCCTAATAAGATCTACGGTAGGAACGAATCTTCTATCCGTCACATAACTTTTTTACAGTCTATATTGTTATAATTGTTCTATTTTATTATTAGTTATTAATTATTAATCTCTTATTGTGCCTAATAAGATCTCACGGTAGAACGAATCTTCTATCCGTCATGAACTTTTTATTACAGTCTATATTGTTATAATTGTTTCTATTTTATTATTAGTTATAATTGTTAATCTCTTATTGTGCCTAATAAGATCTACGGTAGGGTTACGAATCTTCTATCCGTCACATATAACTTTTATTACAGTCTATATTGTTATAATTGTTCTATTTTATTATTAGTTATAATTGTTAATTCTTATTGTGCCTAATAAGATCTACGGTAGGAACGAATCTTCTATCCGTCACATAACTTTTATTACAGTCTATATTGTTATAATTGTTCTATTTTATTATTAGTTATAATTGTTAATCTCTTATTGTGCCTAATAAGATTCTACGGTAGGAACGAATCTTCTATCCGTCACATAACTTTTATTACAGTCTATATTGTTATAATTGTTCTATTTTATTATTAGTTATAATTGTTAATCTCTTTTATTGTGCCTAATAAGATCTACGGTAGGAAACGAATCTTCTATCCGTCATATAACTTTTTTTATTACAGTCTATATTGTTATAATTGTTCTATTTTATTATTAGTTATTATTGTTAATCTCTTATTGTGCCTAATAAGATCTACGGTAGGAACGAATCTTCTATCCGTCACATAACTTTTATTACAGTCTATATTGTTATAATTGTTCTATTTTATTATTAGTTATTATTGTTAATCTCTTATTGTGCCTAATAAGATCTACGGTAGGAACGAATCTTCTATCCGTCACATAACTTTTATTACAGTCTATATTGTTATAATTGTTCTATTTTATTATTAGTTATTCATTGTTAATAAGATCTACGGTTCTTCTATTGTGTCTAATTAAGATCTACGGGTAGGAACGAATCTTCTATCCGTCACATAACTTTTATTACAGTCTATATTGTTATAATTGTTCTATTTTTATTATTAGTTATAATTGTTAATCTCTTTTATTGTGCCTAATAAGATCTACGGTAGGAACGAATCTTCTATCCGTCACATAACTTTTATTACAGTCTATATTGTTATAATTGTTCTATTTTATTATTAGTTATAATTGTTAATCTCTTATTGTGCCTAATAAGATCTACGGTAGGAACGAATCTTCTATCCGTCACATAACTTTTATTACAGTCTATATTGTTATAATTGTTCTATTTTATTATTAGTTATAATTGTTAATCTCTTATTGTGCCTAATAAGATCTACGGTAGGAACGAATCTTCTATCCGTCACATAACTTTTTTATTACAGTCTATATTGTTATAATTGTTCTATTTTATTATTAGTTATAATTGTTAATCTATTATTGTGCCTAATAAGATCTACGGTAGGAACGAATCTTCTATCCGTCACATAGTAATTGCCTTTTTATTACAGTCTATATTGTTATAATTGTTTCTATTTTATTATTAGTTATAATTGTTAATCTCTTGTGCCTAATAAGATCTAAAATAGGAACGAATCTTCTATCCGTCACATAACTTTTATTACAGTCTATATTGTTATAATTAGTTCTATTTTTTATTATTAGTTATAATTGTTAAAACTCTTATTGGGCCTAATAAGATCTACGGTAGAACGAATCTTCTATCCGTCACATAACTTTTTATTACAGTCTATATTGTTATAATTGTTCTATTTTATTATTAGTTATTGTTGTTAATCTCAGTTATTGTGCCTAATAAGATCTACGGTAGGAACGAATCTTCTATCCGTCATATAACTTTTATTACAGTCTATATTGTTATAATTGTTCTATTTTATTATTAGTTATTATTGTTAATCTCTTTATTGTGCCTAATAAGATCTACGGTAGGAACGAATCTTCTATCCGTCACATAACTTTTTATTACAGTCTATATTGTTATAATTGTTCTATTTTATTATTAGTTATTATTGTTAATTTTTTATTGTGCCTAATAAGATCTACGCTAGGAACGAATCTTCTATCCGTCACATAACTTTTATTACAGTCTATATTGTTATAATTGTTCTATTTTATTATTAGTTATTGTTGTTAATCTCTTATTGTGCCTAATAAGATCTACGGTAGGAACGAATCTTCTATCCGTCACATAACTTTTATTACAGTCTATATTGTTATAATTGTTCTATTTTATTATTAGTTATAATTGTTAATCTCTTATTGTGCCTAATAAGATCTACGGTAGGAACGAATCTTCTATCCGTCACATAACTTTTATTACAGTCTATATTGTTATAATTGTTCTATTTTATTATTAGTTATTATTATTAATTTCTTATTGTGCCTAATAAGATCTACGGTAAACGAATCTTCTATCCGTCACATAACATTTATTACAGTCTATATTGTTATAATTGTTCTATTTTATTATTAGTTATTATTGTTAATTTCTTATTGTGCCTAATAAGATCTACGGTAGGAACGAATCTTCTATCCGTCACATAACTTTTATTACAGTCTATATTGTTATAATTGTTCTATTTTATTATTAGTTATTATTGTTAATTTCTTATTGTGCCTAATAAGATCTACGGTAGGAACGAATCTTCTATCCGTCACATAACTTTTATTACAGTCTATATTGTTATAATTGTTCTATTTTATTATTAGTTATTTATTGTTAATCTCTTATTGTGCCTAATAAGATCTACGCTAGGAACGAATCTTCTATCCGTCACATAACTTTTTATTACAGTCTATATTGTTATAATTGTTCTATTTTATTATTAGTTATTATTGTTAATCTCTTATTGTGCCTAATAAGATCTACGGTAGGAAAACGAATCTTCTATCCGTCACATAACTTTTATTACAGTCTATATTGTTATAATTGTTCTATTTTATTATTAGTTATTATTGTTAATCTCTTTTATTGTGCCTAATAAGATCTACGGTAGGAACGAATCTTCTATCCGTCACATAACTTTTTTATCTATATTATTATAATTGTTCTATTTTATTGTTATAATTGTTCTATTTTCTATTATTACAGTCTATATTGACATAATTGTTCTAATCTAGTTATTATTGTTAATTTTTATTGTGCCTAATAAGATCTACGGTAGGAACGAATCTTCTATCCGTCACATAACTTTTATTACAGTCTATATTGTTATAATTGTTCTATTTTATTATTAGTTATTATTGTTAATTTCTTATTGTGCCTAATAAGATCTACGGTAGGAACGAATCTTCTATCCGTCACATAACTTTTATTACAGTCTATATTGTTATAATTGTTCTATTTTATTATTAGTTATTATTGTTAATTTTA